GCATTATTTTACCACCTTCAAAGTAAAAGTTGAATCAGACAGGTATCATCAATAGCTGCTCAATAAAAGGGGGTAGGGAGTTAGAGAAGGAATGTGACACCCACAGAATCTCAAAGAATCTTCCTTCGAACTTCCCAGTAACACAAAGCATGTGCTAATTATACAGCAGAGAAATCAGACATCTTAACCGAGTGATCAGAATCAAGGTCACCAGTAAGGGACAGACGGACACCCGTGTCTCCAGATGTGATTTCACCGAGGAGGACACAACCAGCCCAAAGTGCATAATCTCAGTCTAATCATGAAGAGCCTGTGGAACCCAAAGTGAGGGTTATTCTAAAAAGCAACTTGCTTATATGCTTCTAGACTGTCAAGAAACACAAGAAAGGCTGAGGAACGGTCCCAGATTAAAGGAGACTAAATGGACATGATAGGAAAAAACAATAAGTGGTCTCAGGCTAGATGCTGTCCTGGAGGGAAAAAAATATTATTGGGACAAGTGACAAAACTGGAACATGCAGTGCAGATTAAATCAAAGTATTAAATGTCCTGAATTTGCTGACAGTACTGTGGTTACATGAGGATATCCTTGTTTATAGGAACCACATAATGAAGTACAAGGGGGATGTGTGTGGTCTGCTCCAAAGATTTGGGATTAATAAATAAATAAATAAATATGGGTGTGTGTGTGTGTGTGTGTGTGCGTGCATGTAGAGAAAGAGATGGAGGAAAAGAATACAACAAACATGGCAAAATGATGTTCAAAAATGGGTAAATAATATAAAGGAATATATCATACTATTGCAGCCTCAAAATAAGAAGTTTAAAACAACAAAAACAACAAAACAGTAGCCAAAACAACTCTGAGGGTATCAGCGTTCAGTCTGCTTTAATGCGCAGAAAAGTAATTCAATTTGTACTTCAAAACAAAGAGTTAAATCTTCAGAATCACTGTGCCGCTATCATTACGATAATCACCACCATTAACACCATGGGGCATTTGGTAAGTATTAATAGTAAGCATTTCCCACATCGCTCAGCGGTACAGAATCTGCCTGCAATGCAGGAGACTGGGGTTTGATTCCTGAGTTGGGAAGACCCCCTGGAGAAGGAAACGGCAACCCACTCCAGTACTCTTGCCTGGGAGAACCCTATGGACCGGGGAGCCTGGAGGGCTACAGTCCACGGGGTTGTAGAGTCAGACTCGACTGAGCAACTATACAAACAGGAACTCAGAAAGGTGCTCCCCTTGCATCACCTCTTTTAATCTTCACAACTACCCGAAGAGAAAGGCACTCATTGTCTCCACTTTATAGATGAGGAAATTAAGATCCAGAGAGGTTAAGTAACTTGCCCAAATACACACAGTAAGTGGCAGAACCAGGAATCCAACTAGGCTGATTACAAAACTGGTAGATTTTATTCCTACATCAAATGTATTTAATTATTAATTATTCACTAATTTTTCTCAAAGAATGAGTGATGACTCTCAGTATAAATGAAGTTATAACAAATTAGTGAAATATGCATGAGTAAGTGTTTCTTCTACTAACTAAAATTAGAACACTTCTAAACCAGAGACATAAATGGTATTTTTAGCCTCCACTATTTACTTTATGCTCTCTTTCTTCCAAAGTCTGGACTTGGTCATAAATCCTTTGAAATAAAATATACCTGAGGATGTTCTTTGAAATGATTTTATCAAGTCTTATAAAACACTGGTTCCTTGCCATGGACTGAATGTTTACATCCTCCCAAAGTCAGATGCTGAAGGCTAAATCCCGGATGTGATGGAATTTGGAGGTGGGGTCTTTTGAGGGCAATCAGTCCTGAGGGTGGAGCCTTCATGAATGAGATTAGTGCCCTTGTAAGAATAAACTTGAGAAAGCTTATCGTTCTCTATCACTCTCTTTTTTTTTTTCTCTCTCTCTCTCTACCATATGAGGACCCACCAAGAAAATAACCATCTGAGAACCAGAAAATGGGCTCTCACCAGACATCAGACCTACCGGCATTTTGATCTTGGACTTCTCAAGAAATGAATTTCTTTTGTTTATAATGCATCCAGTCTATGGAATTTTGTCACAGCAACTTGAACTAAGACAGTTCCATTTCAAATTTTTCTTCCTTTAATATGTTTTCTTTCTTTTCATGTAAAGTGGTACAATCTTAGTGCTTAAATTTCCTTTTAGTCTGGGCACCTCAACTTTCCTTTTAAAAAGGAAAAAGTATCATTTGCAATATACTGCCTGGGGTTCCCAATTAAGTGCACTATCACTTTTCTTGCAGGTAAAAAAGTAAGCTGTTAATATACCATCTTTTATCCCTGTGGAAGATGAATGTTAAAAATATATATATATTTAGAACAAAACATTTGCAAGTATTTGTAGGTGTTTGGGGAAATCTCATCATTTGACACAGTGAATGCCCATTCCAGAACAAAGGATTTCCAACCTTGGCTGAATAACAACAAGAGAAGCTATTAAAACCCTGATGCTCAGCCCATACTCAAAGCCAATTAAATCAGAACCTTGGATGTGGAAACTGGGCATCAGTCATTTTTAAAGCTTCCCAGGTGATTCCCAGATATGTAGCCAAGTTTGAGATCCCTGGATGGAACATCCACAGCCATAAAGAATTGCATCTTTTTGTGTACAGATCCAAAGGACTCACAAAGGCTTTTTGAATTGGTCTCACTTGTTAAGGAGTGTACAGTCCAACTGGCAAGTGGAGATATGGGTGCATGTAATGGCTCAGCAGGTAAAGAATCCACTTGCAAAGCAGGAAACATGGATTTGATTCCTGGGTCAGGAAGATCCCCTGGAAGAGGAAATGGCAACCCACACCATATACTTGCCTGGAGAATCCCATGGACAGAGAAGCCAAATGGGCTACAGTCCATGGGGTCACAGAGAGTGGACCTGACTGAGTGACTAAGAACAAGTCCAAGGAAAAGGTAACAGAGTGAAACCTGAGGACATGTGCCAAACGCATGTGATACAAGGTAAGTACATCAGGAGACAACCTGGGGACAAGTTGGGGGTGCCAGCAGCCTCCTGATACAATGACAGGCCCTGATGGAAGCACGGCTGAGGAAGGCAACTCCGGCCAGGGAATGGTTACACGGAAAAGTATTCAGGATGTCCAGGACACAGGAAGGTGACTAATCTAGCCAGAGTGGAAAGCCCACTCTTCGGAGTGGAAAAGGTAAGTTTGGAGAAGTGGACTAGAATCAAAGGATGAGAGCTTTTGAGCAATAAGTTAGACTGATGGCATATAGGGTCTCTAAAGAAATCTGCACATCTGATCAAATGACAACATTCATTTGGGACAAGTGATGTCACAGTGCTATTCACAAGGGTTTGGGGGAAAGACTAAAAGTCAATCTACTAAAAGAACACAACAGATTAGGTAAATTTATATGAATCACAACCTCACATCTTCCTTCTTGGTTTTCCGTGAAGTACAGGAACCATAATTTTGGTTCTGCTAGAACTAGCATGGAACTCACCTGTCGTGTGACCACTGGCAGGAGAGACCAGGCAGGTGCAGGCTCTCTCTCACTCTCTGCCCCTTTGCCTTGCTCCCAATCTCACTCTTAACACTTTCTGTAGCTATATGTTCCTCCTTTTTCTATGAAGGCTACACCTATGGCCGGGAAAGAGAATTCTAGGACAGGGTTTCAGGCAAGAGAAATCTTTTCTTAAAATTTTTCTGTAATAATGATTTTGAGAAGTTTAGTGACCCTTAGGTCATATCCAGCAATGAAGACTCCTATGAATAAAAGGGGGACCAAACCATTCATTCATCCCATAAATATTTACTGGACACATACCATTTACTGCTGTTCTAGGCAGTGGGAATACAGTGAAGCCCCTTTTCCAAACAGACAACTCTCTGGGCAATACAGAGATTTCACTCAAAAACATGACAGCAGTCTAGGGCGTCCTGCTACAGACTTTTGAAACATTAATGATAGCAGAGAAAAAGAAAAAGATGAACTATAAGGAACAGAAGGAAGTATAGGATATATATATATATATATATTTTTTTTTTTTTTTAACTGCAGGTATAAACTGCCACTATTGAAAATGGATTCAAGTTACTAGATGGATCCTAAACTCCTAGAACAGTGCTGGTACTTAGAAAGCCCTTAATAAAGATTAGTTAAATGACATGGACAGGAATTAGTTAAATAACAGTAAAATTAGTTAACATGTTAACTAAACTAGTTAAAAATTAGTTAAATAAATGCAACAGTGACATGTTACACTGAACGGAACTCCTCAAGTGAGGCAGGAAAGTAGGTACTATCCTAATTCAACTAAAGCAGTGAGGTCACCTCTGATGCCTGTGTTCTAAACGCTCCTTTGCAGAGGGACGTGTGCAGGCATCTGACTTTTCAATTCAGTACTTTTAAAACCAGACCATAATGCTTGTTTGTGCAATGGTATCTCGTAAAACCATGAAATCAATGTCATTCACAAATTGTGCTCAGGTTAATTCAGAGATCCTCGTGCTCAGAGGCTGCCTACACATACGGACTGCCATTCCAGAGATGATATTTGTTAACATTTTCATTTTATGAATCGCTAAGAAGAATTTGTGCTTAACAGGGAACTCTGCTCAATGTCATGCAGCAGCCTGACAGGAGGGGAGTCTGGGGGAGAATGCACACATGTGCACATATGGTGGAGTCCCTCTGCAGTCTACCTGAAACTCTCACAGCATTGTTAACTGGCTCTACTCCAGTACAAAATAGAAAGTTAAAAAAATGCACAAGATCATTAAAGAAAAAAAAAAAAAAGAATTCGTGCTTAACTACATGCATTAGAAATTCCTATGACAAAACGAATCTGATTACCAAAGTGTTTCGATCTTCTTTGTCCAAGTCATTACATCCTCTTGTTTATCGACAACTCCTACTTTCTCACTGTGGAGGAGAAAATTAGCATATTCAAGTACGCTTCCTTGGCCCTGTCCCTTGAGAGGAGCTTTACCTGCATAATGTACCGGAATCTCTATCTTTGGCCCAATGACATAGTGCCCCTCCTCCAAGCTATGGGCAGTGATGGTGGTCCACTGACGGCACGAGTGAATCAGAAGGTAGTCATTTTCCCGCAGCCCTTCTATGCATTCTCCTGGAAAATAAATTTTATATAAGAAACTTAGAATTAGCATCTGCTCACTCCATTCTCTGCAAGAAAATTTCATTAGTTATAAGTTCACTAATGGAGAAGTTGATAGTTCATCCCAAGATGAGATAAAGTCCACTTTTGAATCAGCAATTTAAAAAAAAAAGGCATTTCATGCCAAGTTGACAACTATACACAGGATTCCACAAAAATGTTTCCCATTTATTTGCAAGGAGATTTTCAAATACCTCATTCTATCTTAATGGCATTTCAACAATAATATAATAAACATATACTGAGTGCCAGCAATATACTGAGCACATCTAATTAAATGTTTTATATATATTATTTCAATGTAATAGAATAACATTATGAGGCAGGTATTGTTCCTTCTTTACAGACAAGAAAAATGAAGGTTCAGAATGTTAAGTATAGGGGTTCCCCTGGTGGCTCAGTGGTAAAGAACCCACCTGCCACTGCAGGAGACATGGGTTCAATCCCTGGTCCAGGAAGATCCCACATGCCTCAGAGCAACTACACCCACAAGCCACAACTGCTGAGCCTGGTGCCTAGAGCCTGGGGAGCCACAGCAACTGGACCTTTGTGCTGCAACTACTGAAATCCATCTGGCCTGGACCCCATGCTCCACAGCAGCAGAAGCCACCGCAATGAGAAGCCTACACACCACAACTAGACAGCAGCCCCAGCTCTCTGCAACTAGAGGAAAGCCCATGCAGTAATGAAGACCCGGCTCAGACATAATAAATAAATAAATAAACGAAGTTATTTTTAAAAACAGAAATGTAAAGTATCGCCTAAGCTCACAGGTTCAATAAGCAGAAAGGTGCGGATTCAAGCGTAGGTCAGATTCCAAAGCTTATGCTCTTTTTTTTCTTGGCCACACCATGGCTCGTGGGACCCTAGTTCCCTAACCAGGGGTGGAACCCAGGCCTTTACCCATGAAAGCATAAAGTCCCAACCACTGGACTGCCAGGGAATTTGCCCAAAGCTTATGTTCTTAATCACGACAATATAACTACCAAAAATAAAAAACAAATTTCTCTCTCTTTGTTGAAACAGTACTTGAGATTAAATGCTTATATCTCCTTTCAAATTTTACATGTTTTAGTATTGTACTGGTACAAAAACAGACACATAAATCAAAGGAACAGAACAGAAAGCCTAGAAATAAACCCACACACTTATGGTTAATTAATCTACAACAAAGGAGGCAAGGATACACAATAGAGAAAACACAGTCTCTGCAGCAAGTGTTTCTCTGAAAACTGGCCAGTTATATGTAAAGGAATAAAATTAAAACATTCTTCAACATCATATACAAAAATAAACTCAAAATGGATTAGAGACCTAATTGTAAGACCATGTAACTCTCAAACTCCTGGAGGAAAAGAAACATTGGCAGAATACTTTTTGACATAAGTTGCAGCAACATTTTTTTGGATCTGCTTCCTAGACTAATGAAAATAAAAGCAAAAATAAACAAATGGAACCTAATCAAACTTAAAAACTTTTACACAGCAAAGGAAGCCAGAAAGAAAATGAAAAGACAACTTACAGAATGAGAGAATATATTCACAATGTGACTGACAAGGGATTAATTTACAAAATATACAAACAGCTCACATAGTTCAATTTCAAAAAAACCACCCAATTAAAAAATGGGCAGAAGATCAAAATAGACATTTCTCCAAAGAAGACATACAGATGGCCAACAGGCACGAGGAAGAACACTCAACATCACTAATCATTAGAGAAATACAAATTAAAACGACAACGAACTATTACTCACTTCACACCAACCAGAATAACCATCATCAAAAAGTCTACAAACAATAAATGCTGGAGAGGGTGTGAGAAAAGGGAACCCTCCTAAACTGTTGGTAGGAATGCAAATTGTTACAGGCAAGATGGAGAACAGTAAAGAGGTTCCTTAAAGAACTAAAAACAGAGTTACCATACGATCTGGCAATCCCATCCTTGGGCAAATATCAGGAAAAGACAAAAACTCTAATTTGAAAAGCTACATGCACCCTGATGTTCACTGCAGCACTATTTACAATAGCCAAGATATGGAAGTAGCCTAAATGTCCACTGGCAGATGAAAGGATAAAGAAGATGTGGGATATGTATACAATGGAATATTACTCAGTCATAAAAAAGAATGAAATAATGCCTTTTACAGCCATATGGATGGACCTACTAATAGGTCCATACTAACGGAGTAAGTCAAAGAAAGACAAATATTATAATATCACTTTCATTTGGAATCTAAAACTATGATATAAATGAACTTATATCCAAAACAGAGACTCATAGGCATAGAAAACAAAATTATGTTTATCAAAGGGGAAAGGGGAGGGAGAGGGGTAAATTAAGAGTCCAGAATTAACAGATATACACTACTCAATATAAAAAAGAAAAACAGCACTGGGAACTATATTCAAAATATCATAATAATCAATAATGGAAACGAACCTGAAAAAGAATATAGATGTAACTGAATATATGTAAATTTTTCTGGAACTCTCTTGCTTTTTCAATGATCCAACAAATGTTGGAAATTTGATCTCTGGTTCCTCTCTGCTTTTTCTAAATCCAGCTTGAATATCTGGAAGTTTACAGTTCACATACTGTTGAAGCCTGGCTTGGAGAATTTTGAACATTACTTTGCTAGCATGTGAGATGAGAGTGAAGAACTGACTCATTGGAAAAGATCCCAATAGTGGGAAGATTGAAGGTGGGAGAAGGGGAGGACAGAGGATGAAATGTTTGGATCGCATCATCAACTCAATGGATATGAGTGTGAGCAAGCTCCTGGAGCTGGTGATGGACAGGGAAGCCTGGTGTGCTGCACGCCAAGGGGTTGCAAAGAGTCGGACACAACTGAGCAACTGGACTGAACTGAGGACAACTGTGCAGTAGTTTTGAGCATTCTTTGGCATTGCCTTTCTGTGGGACTGAAATGAAAACTGACCTTTCCCAGTCCTGGAGCCAGTTCTGAGTTTTCCAAATTTGCTGGCATATTGAATGCAGCACTTTCACAGCATTATCTTTTCTGATTTGAAATAGCTCAACTGGAATTCCATCACCTCTACTAGCTTTGTTTGTAGTGATGCTTCCTAAGGTCCAGTTGACTTCACATTCCAAAATGTCCGTCTCTACATGAGTGATCACACCATTGTGGTTATCTGGGTCATGAAGATCTTTTTCGTATAGCTCTTCTGGGTATTCTTGCTGCTTCTTCTTAATATCTTCTGCTTCTGTTAGGCCCATATCATTTCTGTCCTTTATTGTGCCCATCTTTGCATGAAATGTTTCCTTGGTATCTCTAATTTTCTTGAAGAGATCTCTAGTCTTTCCCATTCTATTGTTTTCCTCTATTTCTTTGCA